AACAACTTTTATTAAGATCAAAAGAAGGGTTTACTTAATAAGAATATCTATTCCAGAGCACTTTTTGATATCTGGGGGGTGGCATTAGCAAAAATGGGGGGTGAAAATAGTCATTCTCTAAATTTATTGTTAGAGTGTTGAGATTTTTTCTTTTCAATATTTCATCGTTAAAAACTTTAATTAAATACTGTACATATGTAAGTAGTTTATTAACACTATTATTACTGGCAAATATTTCCCGATGCTTTATTTTATCTAGCTCTAAATCTTAGGGCTAACTTTAAGAAAATAATCGTTGTTATTAATTTATAATAAAATATAGTAAAATTTAGATTATTGATTAAAAAGCATCGTATATGACCGAAGTGCATATACAAGACCCGGGTCTGGTGCATTCCACAATTTTAAAACCTTTAATAGACCCGGGGGTCTGTTGTATATACATTGGTCTGATAATCGGGTGAGGCTTTTATGTGGGGAAGTCATAAACTTATTGACTTTATGTAATATGGGTCTTCTAATCATTGTTTCCTATAATATACCTGGGTTTATTTCATATTACCAAAATTTTTATCCAGGTTATAGTCCCGGGTCTGATATAAAAATTATTTATATTATATCTAATTCATAATAAAATTACTAATTATTAAAAATTTTTATTATAAAAAATCTATATATTGTAATAAATATAATATAAATAAGGAGTTTCCTAGGCTTCGCACCCCTGCGTTATAGATATGTATCGCCTGACCAATTAAATTTGAGACGCGCAAATTAATTTCGTGTAACAAAAATGAGATATTTTGTAATATCTCAAAATTTTGTCTATTAACAAAGAAATCCTTCGCAAAATTTTGGTATATATTAACTCTACCTTACCCTAACCTTAACCTTAGTTCCCTAATCTCAATCTAATTAATTTTTTATACAAAATTGTTTTGACACGGATTACAAATTATATAATTTATATGCATGCGATGAATTAGCACATCGCAGGGTGCGGTATATAGATTTATTCTATAAATAATATACGTATACGTATATAATATTATATATCAGATATATATATATAGAAATAAAAATATTTATTATATTAATTATCTTTATTTATCTTTTTATTCTTACTTTTTTTTATTAATTTTACCTTTTTTAGTTTCGCCACAGTTTCGCGGAGTTTCGCCAGTTTCGTCAGTTTCGCCACCTTTCGCCATTTCAATTTTTTTTTGGCGAAAGTCGAAACTAGGTTTCGCCACAGACGAAAGGTGAAACCTCTAAGTTTCGCCTGCCAACACTAGTTGGGATTTTAATACTTGAGCATCGCCAAGGAAAACTTGGAAATCTTATAAAATTTCCAGGTCTTCCCTTGGACATCATCTTTCGTATTCCATTTTAATTGTGTTCAAAGTTTTGAAAGTTATAAAAACTAAGAACTTATTTAGTATTCACCGGAGGTGAAATTCATCACGATAAGTTTTTAATTATTATTACATGATCTATAGAAACATTTATCACGAATTTTAAGGTAAAATTAAACTTTAGGGTTAGGGTTTAAGGCTTAAATTAAAGTAGAGGTTAGAGTTTTTTAGGATGCTGAACATTTTATTAAGTATACCAAATACCGATTACCAAACCCGTTTTTGAGAAACACATACCCGGTGAATTTCACCTCCGGTGAGTGTTAAAATTGTCCAAAAACTAAATATATAAACCATATGAAAAATATATAGGACGATTTTAACGCCCACCGGAGGCGAAATTCATCGGGTATGTCGTTTCTCAAAAACGGCTTTGATAATCGGTATTTGATATACTAACTCTAAGTAAAAATTTTCAACACCCTAAAAAAACCTCTAAATTAATTTAAAACCTTAAACCTTAACCCTAAAGTTTAACTTTAGCTTTCAAATTTGTGGTAAAATTTTCTATAGATCATATAACAATAATTAAAAACATCGTGGTGAATTTCACCTCCGGTAAATACTAAATAAATTTATGAAAACACCCTTTTATTTTAAAAAAGAACACAAGTTAACACAGTGGCTCTCGATATAACGGACCATCGATATAATGATATTGCTTAATACGGAGAATTATAATGGAACCAAATTATGATTTACTATAATATCTGATATATCATGAGATTATGATATTATGGAGCTTTTGATATAACGGAGGACTGGAACCATGGCCTCCGTTATATCGAGAGCCGCTGTGTATATCGGTGTCAGTAGAGCTTTGATCCGGTCATCCGTTTTCATATTAAATTTAACAGATATTCGACGGATTTTAATATTAAATTTGCATCCAACGGATAACCGGATCCAAGCTCTAAGTATCAGTACGATAATTCCTTTTAGACGACGTATTCAGCCATGATGACAATTTCTACAGTCGAAATAACGTGTCTTGAAGTTGAGATCTTTTCCTTTCTCTACTGATTCACAATTAATATTATTTTCTTCTAATTCGAATTCTAGGAAGTGTGAAATGATATAAATGCTCTCACTTAGCATCACCTCTTTGTCATATTATTCATTCAGAAAAGTGAAAATCCAATTGATGTTTAGCGTACATATCTGATATATGAGCGAATGAAGTTTATGAATCTTTTGGTGGAACAGTAAATTCTTGTATGAAAGAGTTCATACAAAACTGGATTTATTGAGTTAAATTCACCCTGTTGAATTTATATCTGGGAGCCAAGTAAAATTCACGTATTTCTGTCCTACTTATTGTCATATACTTTGCATGAAATAATTATTGTGAGAGAGATCTTTGAACATATAGAAAATTAATTCTTTACTTGAATATATTAATTAATCATATAATATAACCAAGTGATACATAAATAAAAACGAATTCTAAATTCTAAAAAAAAGTTATACAATTGTAATTGTACACATACACATAAAAGATTAATACACTTTAGAATTAAATTTCACCAATCAACTCATTTATATATCAAGAATGATTATGATTGCGTCTTTTGATATTCGTCAACAAAATAATCTTTTTGACATTCATTAACATGGCTATAATAAGAAAAAAGAAAAGTTATTAATAGTTTAAGGATTATAAAAATCAAAAATGAATAAATCAAGATACTTTAATAAATCACTCAAATGTTCTTTCAAAACATTCAATGTCTCCTCGCCAATATTCGTACTCGATATTAATTTTGGGAAAATAACTAAAGAAAAGTTGGCACTATAAGCTTTAAACATAATAAATTATACTAATACTAGTGATAATTTACCAAATAATCTTAATAAATGTTCGGCTCCATAAATTTGAGCATTTTCCAAGTTTTCAAACTTAGAACGAACTTCCTTATATTGATTTCTTTCAGAATGATACAAAAGCCGAGTTCCCAAACATTTGTTAAAGTAAAATCCTACACCCTTGCTAACTTCTTCAGCAATACCATCATTATCCTTATTTTTTTCAATTTTCCAAGATTTATAATTGCTTATTATATCATTCACTGATGGTTTACGTGGCAACGGCACCCACTTATGTAAAAAGTTGGAGAATTAGTAAAAGTATAATATAATTTTTTTAGTTCAAATATAAAAAAATCTGTACCATTTGTGACTTATTTATATTTTCCCAATCCTGTACTAAAAGTAACCTAAGTTGTTCAGGAATATAAATTATAACTTTAGGCTTCTTAATAAGATCATCCTATTAGTGAAAGTTTCATTAAATTTTTGTATCTTAATTAATCATGATAATAATGCTATAATAAAGGTTGTCAATATAATCGAAAAAAAACTAAATGAATTCATTACTTTATCTAAAGAAAGATCTCTTTTTCGCTTTTTGTTTTTATCTACTGAAGAATCTTGTACAATTTTTTTTGATGATGATTTATTTTTTTTTGTCATAGATTCTTCAATTTGTTTTTGTCTACTTAAATTTGCTTCGTTGATTGGTAATACTCTATTTTCAGCTACCCACTCATCCCAACTTTTAAGTACCATGAAATTTTAATAAATATTTGCATATTTCAGATAAGAATAAAAACTGTGCACTGCTTACGTATTCTTCCATCCCTTATAGTGTATTAAATAATGTGGACCTGAATCTCCTGATTTCGGATGTTGGTAATCTTTATCTAAAATCTGGTGGTGAATTACGATGGGAATATTTATAATGATTACATCTATTATGTGAAATTTTAAAACAGCGGCGCTTTAACTTAAACATACCTTGGCCTCATATATCATGGGCCCGTGAAAACAAAGGATTCTATCACCTTGGCGATAAAGAAACTTTTCGTTTTGTGCCATGTTAATAAATATTATTATTAAGTTTATCCAAAAAAGAGAGATTGTTCCATTAGATTAGTGATAAAAAAAATTCGAGCTACTCTTATATTTTTCTTGTACGGCAGTTCACTTCCAATTGTGGAAAAGCAAACAATAAAATGCATGTAACTTATGTTACATGCACCGTACATCATACCCGATACATAAAATCGGTGAAGCAACGTCTTTCGTCACTCTCGCGTGATGAATATACCGGATTTATTTATTTCTGCAAGTGATACAAATCACGTACGTACGTACGTACCAAATACTGTATTTATTTATTGTTATTTTCGCCAAAAGCACGTAAAATTTGACTGTTAGGGTTAGAGTTAGGGTTGGGATAAGGAATAGCGTATAGTGAAATTTGGCCAGGAATTTTTTTAATTAGAACGTAAAAGATGATTTCATTGAAAAAGCCTTCGATTTCGCGTTATACAAAGATTCACCTGATCGTGCGGTATACATAGAAAATTTTCCTTTTTTGGGTTTATAGCACTTACAGAAATAAGTGTACGTACAGTCGGCACTAGAGTTGCTGGTGAAACTGGTGAAACTTGGTGAAACTGGTGACTATCTAAAATATGATTGGCTATTGAATGCAATAGCCAATCAGATTTCAGATAGTCACCAGTTTCACCAGTGTGATTTAGTTTCACCTGCAGCTCTAGTCGGCACCAAAAGTTTATCACGGTTACACAAAGATAATATGAAATCAGCGATATAATATACTGTATTTATAACGATAAAAAAAGTCACCGGGTCCAGCCAAAATCCTTCTTATATCGAACCTTTCTTATATCAAAGACTTACGTATAAAATTTTCAAATGGAACTTGTAAAATCTTTCTTACGCCAAGGCTATATCGGGTATATCATAATTATCATAAATTTGTGTTGTTTTGTGTAACCGTGATAAACTTTTGAGTCAACTGTACGTACGTACGTACGTACTTTCATAATCGATGTTTGACAAAAACTAAGAGTATATGACTTGATACTTAAAAGTTGAATCGATAAACTGGGTTAAGATTTGAGTACACCAAAAAAGGCGGATTAGTGGTGGCAGAAACGATCCTCGGTCCGAGCAATTTAGAGCTCCGCAGATTATAAAATATCGGAGAATTCGCAGAGAAAATTGCACTCGGATAATGTGTACCAGGTTAGTACGTCATTGTGGCTGATAATCATCGACACTCCGATTCCGATCGAATTTTTTTTTCAATTTTAAAAATGCAACTTTAATTGAATACGCATTACTAAGCAAAGAAAAAAAAGCAATTCTAATACATAATATAGTATGAAATGCAGTAAATGATTAATTTATTTTATTTGCTAAGACGTTCTTCGATAATTTATGTGCCTTTTTTGGCGCTGTTCTTTTCTTGCGCGCTCTAATTGAATATGGATCGGTGTTTTCCTTTGTTGTACGAGACTTCCTTCGTTGAACTGATGAAGGCTGCACTTTAATCTTTGAACCACTTCGAATCGATTCATTTTTCGATGTAGAGTTTTGTTGAAAGAGATAAGCAGCCAGCTTACCCACTGATATAGATTCAGACTTTTCATATCCTTTTATAAAATGTTCAATTCCACTAAGAAGCTGTTGACTATTTTTAATATCATTTAAAATACGATTAAAAAAGGTTTCAACGGATGTTATACGATTATTTATATCATCTTCATGGTTCCTAATAAAAATAGCAATAATGTATTAATAAGTTTAATTTTACAAATTTTATAGCCCGTATTTTATTTATTTATTTATTTTTTTTACGGACCTGTTTTGGGAGCTTTCAATGATTACTTCAGTATTCTGCTCATCTACATTAAGCGGGTTCATATTTTGATGGTTTATTTCATTATTATAACCGAATCCTGATACAATTGGTGCACGCAAGGATGCATAAAATGTTGGATCTTCTGCAATTGTTCCTTTTAAATATTTTAAATTTATTAGTACGTATAGTACAGGGAATAAAATACCTACTCATTTGCCGGCTATTTAAAAAGTATCATTTTTGATTCATGATATACTAAATCCGATTGGCTAAAAAAACAATTGATATATGCATATCGTATAAATACTGCATTAGAATACTATATGTATAAAAAATGATCGTTGCTTGTCTTGTGAATACAACGTAACAATTTTGTAATAACAGCAACCGTCAGAAAAACAGACAAAATATAATATTAGAGATGATTAATTGTGACAGATTTTTCATAAGAGCTTGTTTGAAGTGGTAACAGAAATTGGTAGTGATTTAAAATTAAGAAGGAAATGATTTATGATAATAATAGATTTACGATCACTTAATGAAGAAAAAAAAATAGTGTCGACCTTACAAGTTGAATTGAAAAAGCAACTTACGCCATCAAAAACTAACCTATACATAGCAATTATTGCAAATTCTGGTTTAAGCAATAGTAATAATAGTAAGATAATTTATATCTTTTTTACAAAAAGGTAATATTTTGTTAAAACCGTTTTTTCACAAATAAGTAGTTCATGAAAGTTTAATATTATAAATTTTGTCTATTTGGATATATTAATAATTACAGCAACAATTCAAAATACACGACAGTATGCATAACAAAATACAGCTTAAAATTTATAAAGCAACATATAACTTAACATATCTAATGTCATAAAATCCAGAAGATCGATTATTAAATGAGGTAATATCAGATTTATATATGTTGTAAGTAGGAGCAGGGTTTAAGTGGATTGGAATTTCTTAGAATTTTAGAGTTAGAATATAGGGTTTATATAAAATAAACATCATCCTGAAATACTAATTTAACTAAGAAATTCCAAATTCATTTAAATCCCATTTCTATTTACAACATATATAATACCTAGATTGTTATAGGATTCAAATATTGCAATATTGTTCGGGCAATTACTAATCTTATACTTTATAATTCTCTGCTGCTTATCAGAAGATAAATACATCTTCTAAAAATAACATTATAAGAAGTGCTTGTAGAATATTACGAATATTGTAAAAACTCGAAGACATTTTGCTAGTACAGCAACTGTAACTGAAGAATATTATCAATATTATTATGCGCAATGTAGGTATTATCTTAAAGGATATTATTATGACTACGATACAGCTTCTACTGCTGTGATAGCACCTTCTGAACTATCAAATCTATCCTTGACAAAATTGATATGTAAGTTAAATCAAAACTTGATAGTGATAGTTCTTTAATATATATACTACTTCAGTATACTAATATAAGTTATAAATGTATTGTCTGAAGTTCTGGTAATTAATATATACTATGGGTAAAAACTATATTATATGTAATTTTATTTAAAATATATATTTCTATTATTTCTATTCTATTTATTAAAATAGAACTTACATCAAAGATTATTAAAAATTACATTTTAATTTTCTATTTCTATTACTATACCAAATATTTAATGTGTCTTTAAATCAAATTTCATTTCATTTTTTTTTTCTAATCCAACTATCATTAACATATGTGGTGTCTCATTATTTAAGCCATTATGCAATCTAGTTTTAATTAAGTTCTGCTTAGAAAAACCATATTCATATTCTATACTAGAAAAAGAAATAGAATATGCTATAGCTAGTAGTTTAATAACATTCAGATATAAGCTAAAATGATGTTGAAATAACAAATTTAATAATTGTTCAATTGGTAGATTTTGATAATTTTCATATATTAGTTTTTTAAAATAAAACTATTCTATATATGTATCTTTAGGATTAATTATTGCTGCTGGAAATAAGGAAATTGTGATTTTCCATAAAAATTGATTAAAATTTTTAATTCTCTATTACCAAATTCTGATAGATTTTCGCTATTTAATGATCCATTAGATAAATCAAAAATTTTCATTGCATTAATAAAAGGATTGTTCGGAAATTGTTTTTGAATTGCTAAAATAATTGCTGATGTAAAATTTGTGATATCAGCAAATAAATTACCTTCTTGCTCTAATGTCCAAATCAGTTTATGTGATTCAATTTTTGTATTTTTTTCAGAAAATATAGTATTAAAAAATCTATTAATATTTGAACTTAATTTGTAATTATTATCACTATCTATATCTAAGTAATTTTGTTTTAATATTGTGATTATAGTATGAATTATAGGGTATATGTCAGAAAAATAAAGAAATTGGGTTTGAAATTTCTTACATAATTTGGCAAGTTCTGTAAGAATGTCTTGAAGAAAGTAAAAAAAAGCCAATGTTTTCCAATTGCAAAGTTTTGAATATAAATCTAAAATTGAAGATTGATTTTTTTGATTTTTTGATTCAGTTATAAAATATAAAAATGTATCTAATAAAGGTTCAACTGAAGAACAAAAATTATTTATAGCTTTATATAAAGAAAGCTATCTAACATCAAAAATTTTAAGAATTTTTAAAATAGGCTTATTATAAGATTCTTGGTATTTTGATAATATTTGAACTCGTTTAGTAGAATTACTAAAAAAAGTATGAACTTTTTTTAATAAAGATTTAACATATGCACAAAATTCTACCTGTTTTTCAGCAGATTCGCAAGCTAATGATAGTCTATGTGCAATACAATGTGTAGTAATCATATATGGATTCATTTGAACCATTCGTGTAGCAACACCATTTATACTTCCTCGTATTACACTTGCACCATCTGATGCAAATGAAAAAATTTTATGTTGTATATCTATTTAAAACACAAAAAAAAAAATAATAATAATAATTAGCATATATAATATAGTAAAAATAATTAAGTTATTTAAACTTATTTTTAGAAATAAAAGGATTAATTATAGTATTATAGATAGACTTTGAATCATTAGTTTTAATTTGTAATAGACTTAAAAATCAGATTTTAATAATACTATTAAAGATATATCTAACATAAACAATTAAATGTGATTCTGTCGCAATGTCAATGTTTTCATCAACTATAATACCTATAGCTGTAGCAAGATATAGTTCTTTCCAAATATTAGTTTCAACTGAAGTAGCGATAGCAGATAGTAATTCTCATCCATATATACCATTTTTATATGTAATTAGACTATTTGTAGAGATTAAGTATGAAGAGTCAATAGCATGACCAAGTTGTGCTAGTTGTTTAAATTTATTTAATGGAATGTTATTTTACGCTATAGAATAAACAATTTTCATCAAACTTATAACATGTCCAGGTGGTACAGTTATAACTTCTTTTTTTTTACACAAGTCAATATGATCTTTGGTTTTAATGTGTTCTTTAATAGCATAAAGTTTAATATTTTTAGATCCTAATTAAAATATAATTAATTTAATTATTCAAATATTTAAAATATAAATAACTTAATTAGTTATTTAATCGTACTATTTTTTGCAAAATTATTTTTTTTATTATGAGCCTGGCACAAAGTGCAAAACATTAGGTTATTCTGAGAATCATATTCAAGCCATGGATATTCATTTTTCCAACTTGATCGAAAATTTCTAGTAACATGATTAATATGTTGAGACGTTGAATTATTACTATTTGATAACATTTAATTTGAATTGATATTTACTTTTTTTTTTTAACATCCAAGAATTTTAATGATTAAAACAGTAAAAAAATCTTTCATTTTTATTTGTTATTTACGACTATTGTTAGAAGTAATTAATGCCAAAAATTCTTCATTTCTATTTGTTATTTACGACTATTGTTAAAAGTAATTAATGCATATGATTTCCAACTTCAGTGTATCAAAAACGACACTTTAAACAATGGGTACTGGCACAGCAAATGGCCGGCAAATGAGTAGGTATTTTATTTTCTGGTATAGTATATCAATATATATATGTATGTAAAAATATAAATAAATTCCAATAAATTTTACTGCATGCGATATATCTATAAGTCATACAATCTTCAAGAGTAAGAGCCGCAATATAATTAAAAGAACCTGAATGATATTTAATAGCAACTACCGCTTGATGTTTACAAGGTGATCCACCAAGTGCCATAGAACAAGTGCATGTTCCAATAGATGAATCAACGATATAATATTTATTATTAATTGTTGCACTAGGAATGAAATATATATTATTTATATTATCATATTGAATATTTTCTTGATTAATTTCTTCCCATCCTGGGCAGCAGAACCGTTTTGATATTTCTAAATGACCTGGGT